GGGGGGCTGGAAACGGGGAGGGGGGCTGCGGCCAGAGCATCCCAGCTTTCCCCTCTGTCGGAAGGGACGTGATGGAAGTTCATTAAAAATCCGTACTCAGGTTGGGGAAAGCAGACAGGGACTCCCCACCCACCCCAGAATACCCAGAAATGTAATTCTAAACGTCAGCATCACTCGGTGAATTGGATGGACAGGAGAAAGTTCTTCTTCACAGCACTTATGAAAGAAGAGTAGCAGTCATTTGTTCAAGCCGCATGTCACCGCGAGAGCCGCAGTTTTCAACTAGCAGGATACAGGGCGCTTGCGTCGATGCAAAATCCATCACCCATTCGAAGTCTCCCTCGCAGACGCACAGGGCTCGCTCTTCACTTGTGCTGTCTGTTGTTCTCAGTAGAAATTATGCACACGTTTTTGTTGCGTATCTAGGAAGATGATGCAGTCATTTTTGGCAGATGCATACTGCAGGTCTGTTTGAATATGCACTTCCCCCCTTAAGAGTATCCTTTAAAGTGCGTGATAAGCGCATACAGCTTGGATCCCACAGGTCCATGCTGCGGTTTGTGATGCTTTCGCCTGCTGCAAGGATCTGTCTCCTCTGTTCTTCCATTAGGGGGAGGATCCTTGCGCCAGGAAAAAGTTTCTCTGTTGCCGATCTGTGGTCTGTTTTGTCTCCCAGGGCTTTTGATCAGCTGTGAATAGCAAGGCGTCTTTTACTGTGTGTGGGGAGGAGGGATCTGTTGTTTTTCTTTTGGATTTAAAATCGTAATACATCCTTGAGCCAAGAGGAAAGGCAGGATCAAAAATATTTTGATAAACGAATATCTCATGCAATACTTCTGAAAGTCGGTGAGAGAAGAAGGAGGAGGAAGAGATTGGATGTATACCCCGCCCTTCGCTACCCGAAGGAGTCTCAGAGTGGCTTACAATCTCCTCTCCCTTCCCCCTCCCCACAACAGACACCCTGTGAGGTAGGTGGGGCTGAGAGAGTTCTTAAGAGGGACTGCTCTTGAGAGAACAGCTCCGAGAGAACTTGCAACTGACCCAAGGTCACGCCAGCAGCTGCATGCGGCAGGGTGGGGAATCAGACCTGGTTCTCCCAGCTAGGAGTCCGCACTCCTAACCACTACACCGAACTGGCTGTTCACATGTGCTGTCCTGACGTGGTGTTGCCCTCTTGCTGGACTACACCACTTCTGAATGCCCTTGGGGGCGGGGTTGCTTCTTTGAAAAGACCCGGACTTCCAAATTGACAACACGTGTGGAAAAAAACCGAGAAGCCTCCTCCCTGATTTCCTAGCTTTTTGCGTGCAAGGAGATTTGGAGATGCTCTCCAGTGAGATATTTCACTCTCTTCCAAGGTCGCACAGCTCTGTGGTCCTGACTCTGTTCTCTCAGAGAGCAGTTCTCTCAGCCCCACCTGCCTCACGGGGCGTCTGTTGTGGGGAGGGGGAGGGGGAGGAGATCGTCAGCCACTCTGAGACTCCTTCGTGTCGGGGTAGGGGCAGGGTATAAATCCAATCTCTTCTTCTTCTTCTACCTCACAGGGTGTCTGTTGTGGGGAGGGGAAGGGAAAGGAGTTTGTAAGCCGCTCTGAGACTCCTTTGGGTAGTGAAGGGCGGGGTATAAATCCAATCTCCTCCTCTTCTGCCTCATCTTCTTCCTCCTCCTCCTCCTCCTCTTCTTCTTCTTCTTCTTCCTCTTCTTCCTCTTCTTCCTCTTCTTCCTCTTCTTCCTCTTCTTCCTCTTCTTCCTCCTCCTTCCTCCTCCTTCCTCCTTCCTCTTTCCTCCTTCCTCCTTCCTCCTCCTCCTCCTCTGACCCGGATGGCCCCGGCTAGCCCCATCTGGTCCTATCTCGGGAGCTAAGCAGTGTCGGCCCCAGTTCGTATTTGGATGAAAGGCCACCCAGGAAGGCCAGGGTCGTCGCCCAGAGGCAGGCCATGAGAAGACACCCCTGTTTGCCTCTGCCCTGACCCCAGGCTGGCCCGATCTGGTCCTATCTCGGAAGCTAAGCAGGGTCGGCCCTGGTGAGCCCTTGGATGGGAGACCACCCAGGAAGACCTCTGGGATTGCTGTGCAGAGGGAGGCAACGGCACACCACCTCTGCTCGTCTCTTGCCCCGGAACGTCAGCTGTGACGTGAGGTCCCTTTCCGCCACCACCAATCATGAATGCGGCTCTCCTCGAGCCACCGTAGGAGTACTGCTGAAATGTAGAACCAGAGAATCACCGAGTTGGAAGGGGCCACAGAGGCCATCTAATCCAGCCCCCCTGCTCAGTGCAGGGTCCGCCTACATCAGTGATGGCGAGCCTTTTAGAGACCGAGTGCCCAAACTGCGACCCAAAACCCATTTATTTATCGTAAAGTGCCAACACGGCAATTTAACCTGAATACTGAGGTTTTACTTTAGGAAAAAACAACTCATAATATTAACTTAAGATGATCCAAACAAAGTAAAGAAAGCAATCCCAAATGCTTTCATTTACTTAAAATTATTCGGCAGAGAATTCGACACTTTCATGATGGTCTGGGCCGATGGCACGCGTGCCCACAGAGAGGGCTCTGAGTGCCACCCCTGGCACCCGTGCCATAGGTTCGCCACCCCTGACCTAGAGCATCCCTGACTAGTGTTTGTCCAGCCGCTGCTTGAAGACGGCCAGGGAGGGGGGAGCTCACCACCTCCCTAGGCAGGCGATTCCACTGTGGCACAACTCTGACTATCAAAAAGTTTTCCCTAAGATCCAGCCGCTACCTTCCCACCCTTAATTTCAACCCATTCTTGCGAGTCCCATATCCTCTGCTGCCCACAGGAACAGCTCCCTCCCCTAAGGGACAGCCCTTCCAATCCTTCAAGGGAGCCATCACGTCCCTCCTCAGCCTCCTCTTCTCCAGACCGAACATTCCCAAGTCCCTCAAGCTGAAGAGGCCTCATAACATTACCGAGTCACACTTCTCACGACCACCACAGTTCTGTGGGGAGGGGGACGTAATATGTGCTTGCCCGCCCTCTGGAAATGTCCATCGGGCAAGCAGATCAGGAGAGGGAGGGAGGGCCTGTGTCCCGCAGGACTGCTGGTCGCCGGGCAGTTTTGCAGCCGAGACGGGCGTAACAGCGAGATTTCTCTCCAATCCCTTGCAGGGGGCAGTGTCTGGGTCCGTGCAGGCCACCGACCGGCTAATGAAGGAGCTCAGGGATATTTACCGATCGGCAAGTTTCAAAGGCGGTGAGTATGGAGCGGGGGACATGGGCGGAAAGCCCCGGTTTGGGGCGACGGAGGGTGGGTGGAAGCCAAGCCGTGATTCTCCCAGCGAGATGCTTGGGTAGGGTGAAAGTGAAGAGGCAGGCCGAGGAACGCTGTCTTTTCATGGTCCATGATGCTCCCTCTAAGCCAGGGGTGTCATACCTGCGGCCCGGGGGTCGGATGAGGCCCTCGGAGGGCTGCAATCCGGCCCACAAGGCCCTGGCTGTTTCCTGCTTCCTTTTCCGGTTCTGCTGCTGCTACTACATCACAGCTTACTTTACCAGCCTCTCCTGTGCAAGGTTTGCAGCTGACAGTTACACACCTGAGCAGCATACTCAGGATTGCTAAGGCACAGACATTTTGATACAAAAATACAGAGCAAGAGGTGTCAGTTATCAGACACTGTTAAGTAGACAGAATATTGCAAGAGTGCTAATGTTTTAAGCAGGTTTTATTTAAAGTTTAGAAAATCTTTAATTGTGTTTGTCTGTGTCCTTTATAAAGCTAATATCTCCGCTACCTGCATTACATTTTATGACACATACGGCACGGGCCGACAAGGTCTCATTTATGTCAGATCCTGCTCTCATTACAAATGAGTTTGACATCCTTGCTCTAAGCTGTGGAGTCTTGTGAGCAAAAAATCTACTTTGTGAGCCCCAGCCATTAAAGCTGTGAGCGAGCGATTTGGCCACTGCATAAATCAGTTTGCTCTGGAGCCGTCCCTTCCTGAGCCGAGACAAAAAGGTGTGGGACGGGGGCTAAAAAACTGTGAGCTAGCTCACACTAACTCAGCTTAGAGGGAACGCTGGTGTCAAGGCATCTTTTTTTAATCCCCCACGATAACCAACCTGCTCCTTTGATCCTCCGCAGGAAACTATGCAGTTGAACTAGTGAATGACAGCTTGTACGACTGGAATGTCAAACTCCTGAAGTAAGTCTCTCTGGCCGTATCTTTGCACGCGGGCGACGTAGTGAACTGCAAAGCGGGCCGGGGGTGGGGGAGAGTGACAAGGTATCTAGGCCGGGGACAGGCGGCCGGGTGCTTGAGCGGGAGGATCGATCCGCCCGTACGTTCCTGCTCGGGAATTGAGATCACAGGGAAGGGCCCCTCCCGACTGTCCCACCAATCAAAGAAGACCGTCTGGTAGGCACACGACAGAGGGCCTTTTTGGTGGTGGCCCTGCAGTTGTGGAGCACCTTCCCCGGGGAGGTGCGCCTGGCCCCCTCACTCTCGATCCTTGGTAGGCAGACCAAGACGGGTAGCCGTGTGAGTCTGTCTGTAGCGGTAGAAGAGAGGAAGGGTACAAACTAACCGAATTCGTGGCAGGGTGTGAGCTTTCGTGAACCACTGCTCACTTCTTCAGATAGATCAAGATGGAGTAGCCGTGTTAGTCCGTTTGCAGCAGTAGAAAAGAGCAAGAGTCCAGCAGGACCTTGAAGACTCACAGAATTTGAAGGAGGGAAGGAGCTTTCGTGAGTCACTGCTCACTTCTTCAGATAGAGCAAGACGGGTAGCCCTGTTAGTCCGTCTGTAGCAGAAGAAAAGAGCAAGAGTCCAGCAGGACCTTGAAGACTCACAGAATTTGAAGGAGGGAAGGAGCTTTCGTGAGTCACTGGTCACTTCTTCAGATAACATGGATTTCCATTCTGTACAGTTAAATGTGGTGCCTTCCATGGAGATAGATCAAGATGGAGTGGCTGTGTGAGTCTGTCTGTAGCGCTAGAAAAGAGCGAGAGTCCAGGAGCACCTGCAAGCACTAACAAGATTTGTGGCAGGGAGGAGCTTTCGTGAGTCACTGCTCACTTCTTCAGATACAGCAAGACGGGTAGTCGTGTGAGTCTGTAGCAGTAGAAGAGCGAGAGTCCAACAGCACCTTCAAGACTAACAAAATTGGTGGCAGGGGAGGCGCTTTCGTGAGTCACTGCTCAGCCATACTCCTCCACCATACACTCCTCAGCTGCTTTCTCCCAGACTGAGAGACGGGCAAAGGGCTCCCTTCTTCCCTGGAGGCCTTGGCACGGCTTCCTCTTCTACACATTCCAGCTTTATCTGAGAAGTGAGCAGCGACTGTGGAAACCCCAGTCCCTGCCCCAGGTTTTTTTTTCCCAGGAGGCAGCTGAAGATGTTTTTGATTTAGGACCGTGTTTGACTACTTTTAGGTTTTTTTTATTGGCAGTCCTAGTTGGGGTCTTTAAATGTGTTCTTTTAGGTGCATTTATCATTCTTGTTTCATTTATGCGGGAAGCTACCTTGACGGTCTCAAGGTAGAAAGGCAGCTAACAAAATTTTAAGTAAATAATTAAATGAATGAAATCCTCCAAGGGCTTTCTCACTGACCCCCAGCACAGACCCTAATCCCAAAGTCTCCTCCACCATACACTCCTCCACCGCTTTCTCCCAGACTGAGAGATGGGCAAAGGGCTCCCTTCTTCCCTGGAGGCTTTGGCACGGCTTGCTCTTCCTCACGTGCCCCTGTGTGCATGCTTCATAGCAGGGAACGGGTAGCGAGCCCTTTTCAAGCAAGCCCTCTGCCAGAGCCTCAGTTGCTATTCACGCTGGGCGGGGTCTGTGTGTTACAGAGCCCTTTGCCTGTTACCATTGCCCACACGGGAGAGATTTGTGGTTTCAGCCACCATTTCAGAATACACCACCTGTCCAAAATGTGTTGCTGACCAAGGGTGTGGCGCTCTGGGGCTTGTGTTTCCTCCCAGGTGCGCCTCACACAGGGTGGAGGAGAGTCCTTAGAATTGGGACCTTCTGCGCGCCAAGCAGAGGCTCTAACCACTGAGCCACAGCCCCTTCCCAGTGTGCGTCACACTAGACCACTTTGCACAGCAGAATCGCCACGAGGCGGCTCTATTTATTTATTTAGGTGGACAGCATTCCAGATGCCCAGAAGACAAATCAAAATTTCGCATACGTCTAAGACAAGCTAATCTTGCAGCTGCGACTTGCCGCTAACAAACGAGCTCGTAAGGCTGAGGCAGGCGGCAGCAGCTCTGGATGGAGCTAACAGTGGCTGCCCAAGGAGGCAGAGGGGCTTCCCTCCTTCACTCATTCCAGAAGGCAGCTTTCTTTATGGTCCCAGGAGCTGGAGGAGAGGGGCAGAGCAGGTAGCAACAGCTCTGCTTTGTAGATTCGGTTTTTTTCTATGCGTAGGGAGGTGTCCCCCCCCCCCCACACACAATGAATACAGGACCCTCCCCTGCCAACTGAAGTGGTACAGTCCAGCAGCAGCTGTACCACATTCCGAGTTCTGCAGTGCCTCCAACTGGTTCTGTGCTCACAGAGTTTCCCATCTCTTCCCCCTTCTTTCTCCCTCTCAATCATTAGGAAGAACTTCCCGACAGTTTGATTGGTTCCTCAGTGGGACAGGCTTCCTCGGGAGGTGGGGGGACTCTACTCCTTAGGAGGTTTTCAAGCAGAGGCTCGATGGCCATCTGACAGCAAGGCTGATTCTGTGAACTCAGGCAGATCATGAGAGGGAGGGCAGGAAGGGTCGCCTCAGTGCTTAGTTCTTGTGGCCCTTTCTGACACGCCCAGGGAAATGGCGATTGCCACTTTGGGGTCAGGAAGCAATTTTCCTCCAGGCCAGTTTGGCCGGGGGATCCTGGAGAGCTTTTTTTGCCCTCTTCTGGGCATGGAACAGGGGTCACTGGGGGTGTGCAGCAGAGGAGGTATTTGTGGATTTCCTGCCTTGTGCAGGGGGTTGGACTAGATAACCCTGGAGGTCCCTCCCAACTCTATGATTCTACGATTCTTTCTCTGCTCAGGGTGGACGAGGACAGTGCTTTGCACAGCGACCTGCAGATCCTCAAGGAAAAAGAGGGGACGGACTTCATTCTCCTGAACTTCACCTTTAAGGTTAGCTGAAGGGGGCGCCGAGCAAAGCCAGACCCCCCAGCTTCTCTTCTTCTCCCTTCAGGATAACTTTCCCTTCGACCCGCCCTTCGTAAGAGTCGTGTCTCCCGTGCTCTCGGGTGGGTAAGTGCCAGCTCAGTCCCGGATTTCCGCAGTCCTGGTTTCCCACCATGGCCTCATCTGGCTGGGATGCAGCATTTAGCTTCCCAAGAGGAGAGAGCCCTGAGGCTGGAGTGGTTCTATAGAGGCTGGCTGTGCTACCTTTGTAGCGATGCAAAGGCACTCTGCACAGGCTCAGAGGCGCCTGTTCACTGCTTTACACTGGAAGCCTTCAACCAAAGAATTAGTAGGCCGATGCAAATCAGGAGGTGACGATTCAGCTTCCGCCTCTGCCGCTGGTTCCTTTAGACACCGGGCTTCGTATCCCTCTGCTTCCCCCACCTCCCGAGATCTCTTCTTTACTTCTGAGTATACTCCACAAAACGGCCTCTGTCCTGGGGGCCCATGTGAGGTTTTACTCCCATCCAAACTGGCGGGTTTCCCATCCCTCACAGAAGGTGGACTGCAAACATTCCAGGGGCTTTGTCTGCTCATCAGTCAACTTTTCATGTCGGCTAAACCGATTTAAGGCTTACTTGACAAAAGCCCTGTACAATAGAGACATTCAGACACAGACATTGACAATTTTGGTGTAGTGGTTAAGTGCGCGGATTCGGTTTTGATTCCCCACTCCTCCACTTGCACCTGCTGGATGACCTTGGGCAAGCCATAGTTCTGTCAGAGCTGTTCTCTCAAGGGCAGTCCTCGAAAGAGCTCTGTTCTCAGCCCCGCCTCCCTCACAGAGTGTCTCTTGTGGGGAGGGGAAGGGAGTCTGTAAGCTGCTCCGAGTGAAGGGCGGGGTATACAAAACCCCCCCCCCCCCCCCGTGTACCTCGCACCTTGAAATAACAAAATCCTTGCCGACAAGGAGGCTACAGTCTAAAACAGAAAATAGGGAACTCAGTGGGGTGGGGAAAGAGAAGTCGCATCATCCCTGGTTACAGCTAAGAAAGAGAATATAAAGGGATATTCCAAAGGCCAAGTGGGAAAGGTGGGTTTCAAAGCAGGTGTAGAAGAAGTGGAGAGAGCTGTTGTGAGTGTTAAGGGCCATCAACTCACTTCCGACTTATGTCGACCCTATGCATGAATAAGCCAGCGTGGTGAAGTGGTTAAGAGCGGCGGGACTTCGATCTGGAGAACTGGGTTTGATTCCTCACTCCTCCACTTGCAGCCAGCTGGGGGACCTTGGGTCAGTCACAGTTCTTTCGGAGCAGTTCCTGTCAAGCTCTCAGCCCCACCCACCTCACAGGGTGTCTGTTGTGGGGAGGGGAAGGGAAAGGAGTTTGGAAGCCGCTCTGAGATTCCAAGGGAAGGGCGGGGTATAAATCCAGTCTCTTCCTCCTCCTCCACATGAAGCCTGCTGGGTGACCTTGGGCCAGTCCCAATTCTCTCAGCGCTCTCTCAGCCCCACCTACCTCACGAGGTGCCTGGGTAGAGGAAGTGAAGGCGATTGTAAGCTGCTTTGAGACTCCTTAAGAAGAAGAGGAGAGAGATGTTGTGAGTGTTAAGGGTCGTCACTTCCGCCTTATGGCAACCCTATAATTTAATCAGTCAGAGTGGTGTAGTGGCTAAGAGCAGTGGGACTCTAATCTGGGAGAACCGGGTTTGATTTCCCACGCCTCCACATGCAGCTGCTGGTGTGACCTTGGGTCAGTCACAAGTTCCCTCAAGGGCTGTTCTGAAGAGAGCTCTCTCAGCCCCCACCTGCCTCACAGGGTGTCTGTTGTGGGGAGAGGAAGGGAAAGGAGTTTGTAAGCCGCTCTGAGACACCTTTGGGTAGTGAAGGGTGGGGTATAAACCCAATCTCTTCTTCTTCTCTGTCCTGTTGTATTCACTGCAGCTGGGGGGGGGGGTGTCACATGCATTGTGGGAGTAGGAAGGAACCGGCCTGGCCGCTCTCCTTTCCAGAGGGTTCCTCTCCTGGCCTTGCAGCCAACTGAGGCTTCTTTTCTTTGCCTTGCCTCCAAGGTATGTCCTGGGCGGAGGAGCCATCTGCATGGAGCTTCTGACGAAGCAGGTGAGTGGCTTGTGGCCAGCACTCCGTCCCCTCCTCCTCCTCCGAGCCGCTGCTCCTCGCCCCCGTCCTTCACACCCTTCAGCCTGCCTGATCGAGGCCGTGCTCGGCTTCTGCTTAGTCTTGTTCCACACAGGAAGCTGCCTTCTACTGAATCGGACCCTGGGTCCATCGCAGTCAGTGTTGTCTACTCAGACTGGCAGCGGGTCTCCCGGGTCTCAGGCGGAGGGCTTTCTCCGTCACCCGCTGCCTGGTCCTTTTAACTATAGATGCCAGGGATTGAACCCGGGACCTTCTGCATGCCAAGCAGAGGCTCTTCCACTGAGCCCACGGCCCCTGCTCTGACCAGTAGAAGTTCTCAAGAGTCTCAGGCAGAGGTCTTTCACATCGTCTACTGCCTGGTCCTTTTGACTGAATTGGCAGGGATAAAATCTGCATGCCATGCTCTACCACTGAGCCAGTGCTCCTACTTAGGCAGGGGTCGTTCCCTAGCAAAAGAGCTAGGGGAACTCATTAGCATAACTCATTAGCATATGCCACACCCCCTGACATCACCGGAAGTGTGTCATAAGGCCACACCCCCTGACATCACCGGAAGTGTGTCATAAGGCCACACACCCCGCCCCCAACGGTCCTGGCTGCCGCCGCCAGCCTTGCAGCTCCACTGCCGAGCCCCATGAGGGGCCTGGCGGTGGACCTGCAAGGCCGGCTGGAGTGCAAGGAAGCCCCGCGAAGGCCCTCCCTGACTCCAGGCAGGCAGGGGTGGGGAGAGGCAGGGAGGAAGCAACTTACCCTCCTTCTTCTCCTGCCTCCTCCTGGCTGAATGAGGGCCGGAAGCGGGGCGGCTGGAAGCACGGGGCGGGGCTTTGTCACGTGCCCCGCCCCCCGTACCTCACCTGGGGGAACTGCGATCCCCCGCGTTCCCCCCCCCCAAAGGACCTCTGGGCGTAGGTCTTTCACATCACCTGCCAGATGTTTTAACTGGAGATGCTGGGGATTGAACCCGGGACCTTCTGCATGCCAAGCAGATGCTCCGCCACTGAGCCACGGCCTATGTTCTGTCCATTTTTGCCAGCTCATTCCGACAAACTTGGATTGGTTTTTGCTTTCTTCTGTACAAGCACATTCTCAGGCGTTCAGTCAAAAAGGCAGGGAAATGAGAAATTGAATGTCACGAGTCCTCCTCTCTTTCGGGGGGAAGGGTGGGGCTGTATTTGGGGGGTCTCCCGCTTTCCTCTCTCGGAGCTGACTGCACTTGTGTCTTTCCAGGGCTGGAGCAGCGCCTATTCCGTGGAATCTGTGATCATGCAGATCAGCGCCACGCTGGTGAAAGGCAAAGCCAGGGTCCAGTTTGGAGCCAACAAAGTAAGATTAAAAAATAAATAAATTCATAGACTCTCAGAGCTGGAAGGGACCTCCAGGTTCATCTAGTCCAACCCACTGCACAATGCAGGAAATTCACAAATACCAACCCCTCTGGGATCCCTGGCCAAACTGGCCTGCAGAAAAATGGCTTCCTGACCCCAAAGTGGCGATCAGCATTTTCCTGGGCGTGTAAGAAGGCGCCACGAGGACTAAGCACTGAGGCAACCCTTCCTGCCCTTCCTCTCGTGATCTGCCCGAGTTCACAGAATCAGCCTTGCTGTCAGATGGCCACCTAGCCTCTGCTTGAAAAACCTCCAAAGAAGGGAGAGCCCACCACCTCCTGAGGAAGCCTGTTCCACCGAGGAAGTGTCAGGAAGTTCTTCCTAAGGTTTAGCCAAAAACTCTTCTGATCTAATACAAATACAGCACTAATAACAATTTATTAATACATATAAATAATTGTAAGATAACAACTTTGTACGCGTTTCACACCATCAAAATTTTTTAAAGGTTCCCCTCCTCAAGCATGATGCATCAGGTGCAGCAGTTTCACATATGAGAGAAAACTCTACGGCCCTGACGGTTCAGTTCACAGCTCCATATTCAAACCAGATGTGCAAGGCAGTAATAAATCAAGTTCATGACTCCTCAGATAAGATGAGTTCATGACTCCCCTCTCGGATAAGAAGGACGGGTTGGCAGCTCCGTTCCCGTTTCGAGTAGATCTTCATCAGAATATTTCTTCTCTAAAGACAGAAATGTATTGCTAACCATCAAACCCATAAATACAGTATTTAAAACATATATTAGCAAGAATCACTGGCCTTACAATTCCAAACAAAGTGCATCAATAAATTTTCAAGCTTCAGTTGAGCAGTCATAAAAACACACTGGGAAGGCATTATCAGACAGTATTTTTGTCGGCTAGGTTATACTCGGTCTTGGGACGGCTTATGCCTTTCTGCCCTGCATTTTTTGTTAAACGGCCATACCCCCAATGCTCAGCACCCACGCTGGATTCTTTAAAAAAAATATATGTTTTTTTAATTACCCTATCATGTCCCCCCTAAAGTGAGTTAGTGTGAGCTAGCTCACAGTTTTTTAGCCTCCGGCTCACACATTTTTGTCTTGGCTCAGGAAGGATGGCTCCGGAGGAAACTGATTTATGCAGCAGCCAAATCGCTCGCTCGCAACTTTAATGCCAGTAGCTCACAAAGTGGAATTTTTGCTCACAGGACTCCACACCTGAGAGGGAGTGTTGCACCCTGTGCTTAAAAAAACACACTAAAGCAGGGGTGTCAAACATGTGGCCCGGGAGCTGGATCAGGCCCCCGGAGAGCTCCCATCAGTCCCGCAATGGAACTGGCCATCTCCTACTTCCAGTTCTGCTGCTGCATCATAGCTTGCTTCGCCAGACTCTCTTAATCGCTCGGCCATTTCATGTTTCAACCTGGGTCCTAGACTCAGGCCTCTGAGCATGAGATCTCTGTGGTGAATGTCAGTAAATCAAAAGTAGGTTTGCAGCTTACAGAGCTAGTGTTTGAAGCATGTTTTTATTTTAAGTTAAAAAAACAACCCTTTGTGTTTGTGTCCTTTATAAAGTTTATATCTCCGCTGCCTGGCATTACATTTTATGACACACGTGGCCCGGCCCAACAAGATCTCATTTATGTCAGATCCGGCCCTCATAGCAAATGAGTTCGACACCCCTGGACTAAAGCTTGTGGTGTAACTTCAGTGCAGGGGCTTCTGGGGGTTACCTCCTATTTGCAGTGGCGCTCTTATTTCGGGTTGGGTGTGAGGGGTGTTTTTTTTTACATCAAGGGCCGTTGCCTCTTTAGACCGGGAGGCGAGAGCCGTCACAGCCAGCATGTAGCCTAAAGTGACGTTTCCAGGGGCTGGGCTGGGGGTGCTGAAGAAGTCCTCCCTGTGAGTTAAAAGCCGACCTGATCTTCCCTGCAGAACCAGTACAGCCTGACGAGAGCGCAACAGTCGTACAAGTCCCTGGTCCAGATCCACGAGAAGAACGGTAAGGACGAGGAACTGGGGCGGGCGGGCAGGAAAGTAAGCCCTTGGAGAGTAGTGTCTTTGGGATTAGCGCTAATCAGGGTTCTTCATAAGCAGCAAAGCGGGAACGAATTTCACACGTAAATTTCACTCACACGTTCCTTATGAGGGAAGGCCGAAGGTCTGGGAGTTTTCAGTTTAGAAAAGAGGGGACACATGATGATCGAGGCTTATAAAATTGCGCATGTGGTGGAGAGAATTGACGCAAGAGAACTTTTCCTCTCTCAAAAGACTAGAACTTGAGGGCATCCAGTGAAGCTGATGGGCAGTGGGTTCAGGATGATAAAAGGAAGTACTACTTTACACAGAAAGCGGTTAAAATGTGGAATTTGCTGCCAGAGGATGCAGTGGTGGCCTCAGGAATAAAACCTTTAAAATGGGATTAGGTAGATTCATGAAGATCAGTGGCTGCTAGCCATAGATTTATTTTATTTATTTATTTCAGCTTACTACCCCGCTCTAACCCCCTTAAGGGGTCTCTGAGCGGCTACAGTTACTCATTTATCCCTAACCTATGGCCACAATTATTGGGGGTGGGGACAATCCCTACCAGCACCCAGTGGAGGTGGTTTTCTCCCAGGTCGGCTACGTCGACTTTCAGCGTCACTCGTCATATATCAGAGACACTAATCGTCTAAATCCCAGTGCCAGGAGGCAACATTAGAGGAAGGCCTCGGCCTCCCTGCCCTGTTGTTGGCTCTCCAGAGGAACTGGTTGAGGCCACTGTGTGAGATGGGATGCTGGACTAGATGGACCCTCACTGGTGTGATCCAGCAGGGCTCTTCTGATGTTCTGATGAGGGGAAGGCCTCGGCCTCCCTGCCCTGTTGTTGGCCCTCCAGACGAACTGGTTGGGGCCACTGTGTGAGACGGGATGCTGGACTAGATGGACCCTCACTGGTCTGATCCAGCAGGGCTCTTCTGATGTTCTTATGAGGGGAAGGTCTTGGCCTTTCTGCTCTATTGTTGGCCGTCCAGAGGAACTGGTTGAGGCCACTGTGTGAGACAGGATGCTGGACCACTGGTCTGATCCAGCAAGGCTCTTCTTATGTTCTTAAAGAGATTGGGTTTTGAGTTTTGCTGATCCTTCCCGCCTGGGTGTTGTGTTGTTTCTTGCAGGCCTTTGGGGAGGGTGGGTGGACCCAAAACACAGGGCCTTCTCAGTGGTGGTGCCTCTGCCATTGGAGCACCACGCTCTTCTCCCTTTACCCACTTGCTTTGCGGACCATCTGCTTATTTAAACGGGTGTAGCAAGGGGAGGGGGAATTACCCCTCTTCTGGCCTCCTGCCCACCCCTCAGTGCCAGTGTTACAGTGGTTGGTGCTTTTCCATTTTTTCACAGCAGCTGGCCTTAGGCTCCGTTTTGTTTTTTCGTCCTTTTGTTTTCTGAACTTGTTAATCTGTGTTGTTTCGAACTACAGCGGCCATTTTGTGGCTGCGCCCGCCACGCGGCGCCAGAGTTCTAGAGCTGCCCGCAGGCTCAGAAAGTTTGAGGACCCCTTGCTCTGCTACACTGATACCCCCTTTTCTTGAGACCAAACGAACCGTCAGGTTTTGAATCCCTTTTCCCACTGGATGTTAATGTGGAATCCAGATGACTGCTGTCTATCTTGTGGCTGTAGTTTGCCCTAGTAAATTTATAAGAAGAGAAGAGGAGGTTGGATTCATACCCCGTCCTTCACTCCCCAAAGGAGTCTCAGAGCGGCTAACAACTTCCTCTCCCTTCCCCTCCCCACAACAGACACCCTGTGAGGTAGGTGAGGCTGAGAGAGCTCTCTCGAGGACTGCTCATGAGAGAACAGCTCTGAGAGAACTTGTGACTGACCCAAGGTCACCCAGCTGGCTGTATGTGGAGAAGCAGGGAATCAAACCCGGTTCTCTCAGATTAGAGTCCACGCTCCTACCCACTACACCAAACTAGCTCTGTAGGGTTTTCTTTTATAACAATGGTCTACTGCCGCTACCCCTGCTGTTTGTGTGCAAACAATACCGCCACCCTCCCATCTAATCACGGCCGTCGACTTTTCCTTTGCAGGCTGGTACACGCCCCCCAAGGAAGACGGGTAGCGCTGGGCGGGGGCCGCCTGGACCAATCCAACCTCCCCGCTGAATGCTGTGCTCGGCTCGTCCAAGACGCCTCCTCTCCCTCCCAGGACAGGACCGCACCGCCCATTTAGCGAGACAAAAAAAAAAAGTTGAGCGGCTCTTTAACAAACTTTTTAACGGGAACCGGAACTGTTGCGAGCGGCCGGGCCGCGGGGCTCCGCGGCTCGCCCTGGACACACGCTAAAGCAGGCAACTGGCAGTCACTCTCGATTAAAAACAAAACCACACCCCAACCCACACGACACACACAAAAAGACTCGATTCTCTTGTTAACGCGGGCAGCTTCCGGCTCTGCTGCGGCTCGGGGCACCTCCGCCCTTCTCCCTCTGCTACGGATTTAATTTATTTTCTTATTTTTATGTACACTGCTTTTTTTTTTTTTTTTTGGTTACAGTGTATGATGGATGTGTATGGGAAAATGTATCTTTCGAAAAACAATTACATTTGTTAATTTGAAGGGGAAAAAAAAACAAAAAACAAAAACAGAGTCAATCTTTTCTTTTTTAGGGGGGGGGGGGTCGTGGTGTATAGGGGGAAATGTCCTCCTCCTGTTCGTCTACCTTCCTCTCTTCCCTTTCATATACTCCGGTATTGGGAAAAGGGAGAGCGGAGGTGGTAGAGGCCTGGGTAGCGTTCTGCTGAAGAGCGGGTTTAAGCTCCTAGTTGCTGACCTGTGTCATCTGCCCCGAGTTGGTGTGGCGATCGAGGGGGTGACATGACAGAGGTTTACAAAATTGTGCATGGGACGGAGAAGGCAGAGAAAGAAGTACTTTTCGGTCTTCCTCGCAATACAAGAACTGGTGGGCACTCCATGAAATTAATGAGCAGTAGGCTTAGAATAGATCAAAGGACGTCCTTCTTCACCCAAAGAGTGATTAAAATGTGGAATTCACTGCCACCGGAATTGATAGTGGCTCAAGTGGTTAAGACGCTGAACTGCAGGCTGTGGAAGGTCAGTAGCTCAGCAGTTCAAGACCCAGGTGCCGCATGACGGAGTGAGCTCCCGTCTCTAGTTCCAGCTCCTGCCAACCTAGCAGTTTGAAACAAGAAATTGCAAGTAGATAAATAGGGACCACTTCGGTGGGAAGGTGACGGCGTTCCATGTGCCTTGGTGTTTAGTCACGCCGGCCACATGACCATGGAAACGTCTTTGGACAGCGCTGGCTCTTCGGCATTGAAACGGAGATGAGCACCGCAACCCTAGAGTCGGATTCGACTGGCTTTCGAGCAAGGGAACCTTTACCTTTTACCAGCATAGACTTCAAGAGGGGATTGGATAAACATCTGGAACAGAGGTCCATCAGTGGCTCTTAGCCACAAGGGATAGATGGAACACACTGTCTGGGGTAGGGATGTTGTGTCTTCTTGGTGCTTGGGGGGGCAAGAGTGGGAGGGCTTCTGGAGCTCTGGCCCTGCTGGTGGACCTTCTGATGGCACCTAATTTCTGGCCACCGTGTGACACAGAGTTGGACTGGATGGGCCATTGGCCTGATCCAACATTGGCTTCTCTTATGTTCTCTTGCGTTATGTTCTTGGTGCGCAACAGTGGGGAGGGCTTCCGGTGTTCTGGCCCCACTGGTGGACCTCCTGATGGCACTTGGGGTTTGGCCAGTGTGTGACCCGGTGTTGGACTGGATGGGCCATTGGCCTGATCCAACATGGCGTGCGTTATGTTCTTAACCTCTGGCCCAAGGTGACAGGACGTAGCCCAATCTCGCCAGATCTTAGAAGCTAAGCAGGATCTGTACTTGGATGGGAGACCACCAAGGAAGGGTCTGCCGAAGAAACCATCTCTGCCTCTCACTTACCTTGAAAGCCCCTTGCTGGGGTACCTGTAAGCAAGTTGTCGTCAAGTCCCAGTCAATTTACAGTGGCACCGTAGGGTTTCAATCAAAGCAAGAGACATTCAGAAGTCATTTGCAATTGCTTATCTCTGTCGGGATGTCCAATGCTCCCTCTAAGCTGTGGAGTCTTGTGAGCAAAAAACCCTACTTTCTGAGCTACTGGCATTAAAGTTGTCAGCGAGGCATTTGGCTACTGCATGAATTAGTTTCCTCTGGAGCCATCCTTGAGCTAAGACAAAAAGGTGTGAGCTGGAGGCTAAAAAAACTGTGAGCTAGCTCACACTAACTCAGCTTAGAGGGAACACTGGATGCTTCCCTCCTTGGGGGGGGGGGTCTCCCATCCAAGTACCAACCAGGCCTGACCCTGCTTAGTGCTGAAGATCTGACAAGACCGGGCCATCCAGGTGAGGGCTGAAGCCCCGCCCGGTTCCACAGCCCAGGTCTTGTCTGTCATGCAAGATTGCCTTCATGGTCCTTTCCTGATTTTGCCTCTCCAGAGTGATAACGACTAGGAACCTTGAACTTCTAAGGGAAAGCAAAGATTCTTCAGGCTGCTGCAGTTGGTGGCCATGTCTAAAGCCCATGGCGGTCCTGTGCTTACCATGCCTGGGCCAGTCTGGTGTAGCAGTTAGGAACACGGACTCTAATCTTGGAGAAGAAGAAGAAGGAGATTGGATTTATACCCCGTCCTTCACTTACAAACTCCTTTCCCTCCCCCTCCCCACAACAGACACCCTGTGAGGTGGGTGGGGCTGAGAGAGCTCTGACGCAAACTGCTCTTTTTCAAGGACAGCTGTGACAGAGCTTGTGACTGGCCCAAGGCCATCCAGCCAGGTGCGAGTGGAGGAGTGGGGAATCAAACCCGGTTCTCCCAGATTAGAGTCCGCACACTTAACCACTACACCAAACTGGCTTTTGATTCCCCCACTCCTCCCCATGCAGCTGCTGGAGTGACCTTGAGTCAGTCACAAGTTCAGAGCTGTTCTCTCAAGGGCAGTCTTCGAAAGAGCTCTCTCAGCCCCACTGACTTCACAGGGTGTCTGTTGTGGGGAGGGGAAGGGAAAGGAGTTTGTAAGCCGCTCTGAGACTCCTTTGGGTAGTGAAGGGTGGGGTATAAATCCAATCTCTTCCGCTTCTGTATCGTTGGGGCAAATGCTGTTCTAATGCCACTACCCTTCCAGGATTGAGTCTAAACGCAAAGAGTAGATGGCAGCGCGCACACATTGAGAACGAGAGGTCCTTTAGGCTTCCGGCCACCGTACACAAACCTTTGACGCAGCCCAAAAGCTACACCCACTCGTCCCATCTGTGAGACATCTACACGGTGAAGCAGTGTGGATCCGAAGCTCCCATTGGTGGAACGTGCCGCTGTCAAGTCACAGTGGGCTTCTGTCAACCCTGTAGGGTCTTCAAGGCAAGGGAGGAGCAGAGATGGTTTGCCGCTGCCTGCCTCTTATGTAGCAACCCTGGACTTCCCTGGTGGTCTCCCCTCCAAATTATCAGGGCCCGCCCTGCTCAGCTTCCGAGATTGGAATCGCCTAGTTTAAAATCAGAAGGCTCCAATTAGAGTTGCCGTTTCCCCGGTTGGGTAAAGGGATCCCCCCCCCGAGAAGCCCCTCCCAGCAATGTCACCTGGGAGTGATGTCACTATGTTTCCAACACTCTAGGTTTGGGGCAAACCTCTATGGTTTTGAGGCCCAAAAAACCCGTAAGAGTTTTGCTCAAAACCTAGTGTCCTCCCCAGTGTCAGAAATGTGATGATGTCACTTCCGGGTGATGACACTGCAGCGCATGCACCTGGTCTACAGGAAGGGCCGGGAGTCTCCCCACCCTGACCGCCAGGCCGGACCTGGTAACCCAAGCTCCAACGGGACCTCCCTGTGAGCCCTCTGTCCGCACAAGGTGTTGTGAATGGCCATCCAGAAGGGGCAAGGGAGATCAGAAAGTGCCCTGTGAGGTTTTCAAGGCAAGAGAGGAACAGAGGTGGTTTTGCCCTTGCCTGCCTCTGCATAGCAACCCTGGACTTCCTTACAGGTCACCCGTCCAAGCGCTAACCAGGTGTGACCCTGCACGGCTTTCAAAGTCGGGGCTGAGCCACAAATCTTGGGGCACCTAAAGATGGACAGGTTGATCCCAGCAGAACTTGCGTCATCCACAGAACGAGCCTGTTCTTTACGCTGCTCCAAGCCCTGTTTTTGTTTGAAACTTGAACAGCCTTCATAGAATCAGAGAGTCGGAAGGGATCTCCAGGGTCGTCTAATCCAAGCCCCTGCACAATGCAGGGAATTCACAAACACCTCCCCCCTCACACACACCCAGTGGCCCCTGTTCCATGCCCAGAAGATGGCAAAAAACCCTCCAGGATCCCCAGCAAAACTGGCCTGGAGGAAAATTGCTTCCTGATCCCAAACTGGCGATCACCATTTCCCTGGGCGTGTAATAAAAAGGGCCACGAGAACTAAAGACTGATGCAAACCTCCCTGCCTTCCCTCACATGATCTGCCCAAGTTCACACAATCAGCATGGCTGTCAGATGGCCATCGAGCCTCTGCTTGAAAACCTCCAAAGAGGGAGAGCCCCCCCACCTCCCGAGGAAGCCTCTTCCACTGAAGAACCCCTCTGACTGTCAGGAAGTTCTTCCTAATGTTTAGCTGAAAACTCTTCTGATTTAATGTCAACCTGTGGTTCTGGTCCGACCTTCTGGGGCAACAGAAAACAACTCTGCATCACCATCCTCTATATGGCAGCCCTTCAAGTACTTGAAGATGGTGGTCCTATCACCTTCTCAGTCCTCTCCTTTCCAAGCTAAACATACCCGGCTCCTCCAGCCTTTCCTTGTGGGACTTGGTCTCCAGACCCCTCACCGTCTTCGTCGCTTTCTGGAAAGCTTGTCTATATCCTTTGTAGATTGTGGAGTCCAAAACTGAACACGATACTCTAGGTGAGGTCTAACCAGAGCAGAGTAAAGCGATACCATCACTTCAGGTGATCTGGACACTATGCTTCTGTTGATACAGCCAGAAATGGCATTTGCCTTTTGAGCTACCGCATCACACTGCCGACTCATGTTCAATGTCAATCTCACTTTCCCGACATACATGTGGCCCTAGATTAGGATCGTTTGGAATTAGCATTGTAAGCCGCTCAGAGCCCCTTGGGGGGGGGGGGGTGAGCGGGATAGAAAGTTGAATGAAATTAAATAAATAAAAATAATGTACGGTCTAAGACACCTAGATCGTTTTCCCACATGCTACTGCCAAGACAAGTCTCCCCTCATCCTATAATTAGGCACTTGATTTTTCCTACCTAATTGCAGAACTTTACATTTATCCCCACTGATATTCATTTTATTTGCTTCCCTATGAGTGTTTCCAGAAATGCAAAACAGAAAGCTAATCAGCTCCCCCCCCCCCCCCTTCCCCCATTTAAAAGTAGCAGGTTGTAAGACTAGGCAAAACCCGGCAGGTTCTTCTTCATATAACCCACCCCCTTCAAAAAAAAAAAGACAAACCAAGACAT